TGACATCAAATATAATTGATATTAATGTTAAGAAAATTACGACATGATATTAATATTAAATTAATATTGGAAATGTAATATTAAAATGGTATTAGCATTTAAAAAATAATATATTAATTATATTAATATTAAAAATGATGCTAATATTCTAAAAAATAATATTAATACTAAAAATGACATAAAATGTAATTGATATTAATGTTGAAAAAATTATGAATAATTTATATTTAAAAATTGCTAACTTCATTATTTTAGAGATATGTATGGATAAGATTGTTGCAGTACGATATATTTTAAATGATTTAATATTATATCAACTTCGTTTTAAAAAAAATAAATAAATAAATAAAATGGAATGGTTGAAAATATTGTCAGAGAAATAATATATCACCAAAGAAACTTATCACATTATTGTTAACATGATTAATTATTTTTCATTTCATACTACACATCCATCATATAATTTTCACTAAAATTAAAGTATACTTTTTATTTTAAAAATAAAAACAAAAACAAAAAAACAAGATGGAATGGTTGAAAATGTCTATCAGAGGATTGGAACTGGTAGGTATATCACCGAAAAAACTTATCATTTTGTTGTTATCTTAATTGATTATTTTTCATTTCATACTATTTATCCTTCATGTAGAACTATCCTATCACGAAAAAAAAAAAAAAAAACTGAAATTGTCTAAAATAACATTTGTTTCATGCTCATTTTATCATCATCATCATCATCATCATTATCAGTTTTGAAAAGACTAAGAGGAAATAAACAGAGAGGAAGAAAGAAAGGAATGTGAGAAGGGAAGAAATGAAAAACGAGTATCATTTTTATCAATGACAAGATAGTTTTACATGATGGATAAGTATTGCATAATGAAAAATAATTAAAAAGATATCAATTTATATCAATCAATAATTCATATCAGATATCAAAATAATTGGGATAGATATATTTCATTTCACTTTTTATTTTTATTTTAACTAATCTCGTTCTCTAACTCTCAATTTGTGAAAATACCTACGAAATATTAATCAATTTAAAAAAAAAGAAGCTGAGAGTAATCGAAATAATCAATATTCATTAATTATTCGTTCAATTATTTCATCATTTTTAATGTTAAAGAAAAGCAAAAAAGAAATCATTTCTGATAAATTTCCTAAAATAAAAGAAAAACAGTAAAAATCAAACTAATCATTTATCTTTTCCCATTCTTACTGATTATTTGTTATCGAATTTATTATTATTTATCATTACTATTTATTATTATTGCTTGTTGTCATTTATTACTGCCAATTATTGCTATTTTCATTATTATTATTATTATTATTATTATTATTATTATTATTATTATTATTATTATTATTATTATTATTATTATTATTATTATTATTATTATTATTATTATTATTATTTAGTTTACTATTA